CGTGTGTGTGTCGGGACACGGCCACCGTGTGTGTGTCGGGACACGGCCACCGTGTGTGTGTCGGGACACGGCCATCGTGTGTGCTATGTAAAAATTAAATGAGCCATCATCTAAGACTCGTCCTGTCATGAACACTGAATGGTCATTCTAATACATGGTTCGCGGCCGTGTTTGTCATCTTGCAGAGCGACTTCCCCAGTGTAGAAGAAACCCGGTCTCTGATCGAAATGTATTTTGCCTTGCGCCAAGAGCTCGTCTGACTGAAGGTGCTTAGCGTCGCAGGCCTTAATCAAAATTTCCGAAAGACCGGGATCAGCTTCGAAGGTCCAAGTCTCTTCAAAAGAACCATGAGAGCCAGCATCCTTAGCCACAGATGTTCGCCAAGACTGGGCACCACATTGCAATTCCACGTAGATGTCAGTCTTGTCTACCAACCCAGTATGCTTCTGAAATCCCGCTGCCGAATGTATTGTTACAGATAACTGCATCACTCTTTTCTGAAACAAAACCTTTCGAGGAAACACCTTACGAGACAAAACAACTGTGTGTTCGGGGCATGGCCAGGTTCCAGTCTCGCTGTCAAACTATTTTTCGTTTTTTCGGACACTCATTATACGTAACGGCGGAATGTTAGGTGATATATCTGTCTTCCCCCAAAAACCCAGCTGAACCGATAGCGTTATGTCTATCTGCCCGTTTTAGTCTCATCCTCCTCCTCGCTAGCGGGCCGCATGAGGAAGAAACTCCAACCCTAGGGGTCTAGGTATTCCTCGTCATTACGAGCCAGGCCGATTTCTTGTAACCAAAGCCGTTTGCCTGGTCTCGGCCCGGGGTCTACAGCCAGACTTTCCTGCTTCCTGCCTGCCATAACAGACGGCAGCTCGGTCACCGGTTGGTACCTTACCTTCTAACGTCAGCCAGGCTGACCTCTATCGTCAGCCAGGCTGACCACTATCGTCAGCCAGGCTGACCTCTATCGTCAGCCGGGCTGACCTCTATCGTCTTATCCTTCTTTCCGTACCGCCGGGGGGTGACTCGCTTACCATCTACTCTCAGCACTAACATGGGCAACGACCAGGTGCTGGCGAGCCAGTCGGGGGTGGCCTCTTCGTTCGTGCCTAAATGTTCAGTCGCTCCTCCAGCATGCACTCTTGCCACAACGATATCACCTCGCTGCAAAGGTTTCTCTAACGACGTCTTCACTTGGCGGTCTCTCACCAGAAGCCTAATCAGCCGGTCTCTCAGAGCAGCTACTACATTTGTCTTCCGGATACTCTCTGGCAACCATTCCGCCCATTCGTGACAGCCCGGTACTATCGCCTCCAACCCGAAGAATGACTGAAAAGGACTCAACCTTTTAGCTCGGTGCGGTGTGGTGTTATACACGTTTACCACCTCCGCTAGCATCGTCGAGATGTCACGACTGCCTTCTTGCCAAAGTACTGCCATTCCTAACTTAAGGAACTGATGTGACGCCTCATTAACTCCGTTGCCCTGTGGCCTGTAAGCGCTACAGTACAGGTGACTCACACCCAGAGCGCTGACCACCTGCTCGTGGAACGCACCGCCATTGTCCGTAAGTATCACCCTCGGCACTCCGAAGTAGTCCAGCCAGCACGCTTTGAACACCTTGTAGGTAAGCTCAGCCGCCGCAGCGTCCAAGTGCCCCACCTCGTATCCATGCGTGGGGGAACGCGGTTGCTTTTGTCGCGCGCATATCAAGCAAGACTTCACAAAGGCTGCCACGTCAGCCGGCATGCCCGGCCACACAAAGTACTGCGCTACTCTTCTCACAGTCTTTGTCACACCCATGTGTGCTCCTCCTCGTCCGTAGTGCAAGCCGCAAATTGCTCTCTCTCGTAGAGCCCCGGGCACATACCCTCGACCCGTCGCGGCTTCTACATAACCTTTGTGTCCTGGTTGGCCCTCCTCCTGGACTGCACGCCTCACCTCCGCCAAACTCGGCAGATCTATGCCCTCGTCTATCTTGTCCACCTGCTTGACCGGTAGGCCCATGGTGTCTAACAGATCATCCTCGTCGATGTCTGGAGCGGCATACCTACTAAGCCAGTCTGCAACGTTATTCTGACTTCCCTGTAGGAACTCTATATCGAAGTTAAATCGCGCTAGACAATGCCCAACGCTGG